AAAGGGCTGACCTAGAGTGGCATTTGGATGTCGGTTAGGTACAGAATTTTGTCCTAACAGGGTTGAACATAGGCAACCCACCCAGATATTAGGCTAGTCTAGGTTTTCTATTTTGAATTTTAGTTTCTTTTTTTTCACGGTTAACTTAGCTTAGGGTATGTATGCTCATTGGTCCCTTTATTTCTGTCCCTATTTTTTCTTTTTGTTTAATTCGCCATCCCCTCCCTCGTTAGGTGGTTAGTGATGTCAGTTCTCTGGTGGATGCGGGGCGACTTTCGTTTCGAATGGGTGAGTTTTCGTATTTGTTGTTGTGTTTGAATGTGTGTGTGCCTGTGTGAATGCTTAGAGCTTTGAAGGTTTTCATGATTTTTCATAGTCCCGCATTAATTTCGTCCGGTTAACTGATGTTTCTGCCACATTCATGGTTTGTGGGGGTTTTTATTACTAACACATTTTTGTTTAGTTTTATTGTAAATATTAAGACACTGTATATATTCATTTGGGGATATTTTTAAAATTTGTTATTTTATGACCCTCCCCCCATGAACATTATTTGTATATAAGGGGACTAGTTAGGACTTCATAGAGAATTTGAGGTATTATGGTGGACGTAGTAAGAAAGGTAGGAGGAATGTTTGTTTTGGTGATTGGAATATTGTTGGCATGTTTGGGTCAGTGTCTGCGACTAGCTAAGTTTTAGATTTAAGACAGAAGATGGCCGTCATTCCCCATCCCCCATTTTAGGCCTCGTGCCACATTTTGTATTTTAATGCAAATAAATAATACGGTGTTGAGCGCGTCAGTCGAGATTCGGACATTTGAAGTACCAACCATCACAACTAGATTTGCTGCGTCATTGACTATTATTTTCCAAGTTCCTAACGTTTTGTACGACTTATTAGAAATACAAGCCTCCACTGTGAAAATACTTCACAACAGATACACGGATGTCTTAAACCCAAGCACTGTTCAAAGTATCAGTAAAATTAGGAATGATAGTTTGTTGCTGTTTTCTATCTCCATTGTGAATGAGTTAGCTACAACGCCTCATCTAAGATATATATAGAAATGTCGATCAGATTTACTATTAAGATATGAGTTGTGCCATCAGCATAGATAACATGCTGAGAACAGAGAATTAGAAACAACGTCTGACCAAGGATAAAGGCCTGGTGAACACCTAGATTTATGAAAAATGATCTAGATGATTGGCTAAATATTAATTTAAATGCATAGATACGGTGTGCATATGTTTGTGTGCGTGAACCTTCACACACACACACACACGCACACATACACACACACACATATATATGTGTGTGTGTGTGTGTTTGCGCGTGTGCATGTATCTAGTTATGCATGTGTGAGTGAACGTATGGATGTAAATATATGCACATATATTCAAACAACAATAAATCAAATTTAATTATATAAATCTAAGCTAGTATAATTAATAACCTACTACTTAAGATACTACCAAATCAAGGAAAACTAAATGATGGGTCGATGAAGATATATATATATATATATATATATATATATATATACCTCGCTAATTAAGAATTAATAAAAATATATGTAAGTCAAAACCAGAATACACCTAAATTTTCAAACACTCGAACATTCGAGAATTACTAAGAACAGAGGCAGTCTGCCACATAGGATGGCTACATTTATCTTACAGCTGAAATATAGAAAAAGATTTGAAACTAATTTGGATAGAGTATAGAGAGACAAGAACATTGATGAAAAAGAGAAATCAACGTAACATTCTACACGTGCGTACATACAGGCATGTACGCTTGCAAACGCCTCCATACTCGAGCATATACACGCGCACGCAAGGACATACAAGCACACTAGTGTACACACACACACACACACACACACACATACACACACCAACATAAACACAGACAATGAAAAAAAAAATCAAACATATAACAATAAAAAGTGCATAAATTATTTTTTAACAATGCAAAAAACGAGAAAATAAGCAGTCCATTGCTGGAGGTTCTGATTCAAGCCTCCTGAAGAAAAGGAGGAGCTAAGTTAATGAGAAGAGGAGGATGAGATAACTCTCTCTCTCTCTCTCTCTCTCTCTTTTGAGCCAAATTTAAAACTTAAGCAAAGAGTGAGAGGGATGTGAAACCCTGAATCCTAATGAGGAGAATAGCAGGTTTGAACGATGGGATGGATGCATACGATGTCAATGCGCAACGACAGCGGATTCGTTAGGAAAGGCCAATTCAGTAATTAAAAGTACTAAAAAAATGAAGGAGGTGTGAAATTACTTATTGATGTCGTCTGCACAAGGGCCCGTGTATGTCCGGTATATTCGGTGGTATTTAGGGGAAACCAACCAGACCAGATATTGAAAAAGAGGAGGAGGAGAAGAAGAAGAAGAACAACAACAACAAGAAAAAGAATAATATAATGACTGCAAAGAAGATGAAGATTAATACCAAGACTGCGAAAAATACAGAAGAAGAGCAGGAGGAGGAAAAGAAAAATAAGAAAAAGTAGAGGAGGGGGAGGAGGAGGAAAAGAAGGAGAAGATTAATACAATGACGGCGAGGAATACAGAATAAGGAAAAACAGATGGCTAGTATGAAGAGTCTGATATCACTTTTGATGATAGTGGATTGTCTTATGTTTTTATTAACATCGATATTAAAAAATTAAATGATATATGCATATCTCATTAATTTCAGCTAATTTTATAGTTGTTCTGGCGATATGGTTTCGTTGCTTTACTAAATTCATCGCATAATAATGCGTTGGATCTGCAAGAAAACACCAAATAGAACATATATAAAGATTAATTTTAAGCTCGTTAAGAAATATTTTATAATTTAGGCAAAATATTAATATAAATTTTTCTAGCATACGATTTAGTCGACACCGCAGATTTTAATAGATTAAATCTAGTATAAATTACTATAAGATCTAATAATCTAGAATTGGTTCTATAACTAAATGAGATACTATAAATGAATTTCGTTGCTACAACGCTAAGTGCGTTTTACTTGATGCACCTCAGCAATACAAATTAATTGCTTATAAAACATGCCGATAAAAAGATTAAAAATTACTTCATGAGACCATTTGAAAAGAAAAATATTCCGAATGAATAAAAAGAAATCCTGAAAACTTACATTTCGAAAGAGCAACATCAAAAAGTAAGGCAGAGAGCAGCGAAAGAAAATAAAGATGCTTCATTTTCTCTGTCCAACGGACGAAGACGGAATTATTTCACTGGAGAACAATAGTCATAGTAATAATATTTTATAAAAATGTATATCCTTTTAGGTTCTGAAGTGTTAACTTCCTTAAATTGCTGGCTGTTACAAATGGTATAATTTGACTAAAATAAATCTTTAAATATATACGAATATGAAATAAAGATATATATTTTATATATCAAGGACAGTAATAAAGAAATTATATGACAAATTGGTAAAATTTTACTTGTGGAGAGTTTCGTACTTCAGAACAGAGGCAGTCTGCCACATAGGATGGCTACATTTATCTTACAGCTGAAATATAGAAAAAGATTTGAAACTAATTTGGATAGAGTATAGAGAGACAAGAACATTGATGAAAAAGAGAAATCAACGTAACATTCTACACGTGCGTACATACAGGCATGTACGCTTGCAAACGCCTCCATACTCGAGCATATACACGCGCACGCAAGGACATACAAGCACACTAGTGTACACACACACACACACACACACACATACACACACCAACATAAACACAGACAATGAAAAAAAAAATCAAACATATAACAATAAAAAGTGCATAAATTATTTTTAACAATGCAAAAAACGAGAAAATAAGCAGTCCATTGCTGAGGTTCTGATTCAAGCCTCCTGAAGAAAAGGAGGAGCTAAGTTAATGAGAAGAGGAGGATGAGATAACTCTCTCTCTCTCTCTTCTCTTTTTGAGCCAAATTTAAAACTTAAGCAAAGAGTGAGAGGATGAAAACCCTGAATCCTAATGAGGAGAATAGCAGGTTTGAACGATGGGATGGATGCATACGATGTCAATGCGCAACGACAGCGGATTCGTTAGGAAAGGCCAATTCAGTAATTAAAAGTACTAAAAAAATGAAGGAGGTGTGAAATTACTTATTGATGTCGTCTGCACAAGGGCCCGTGTATGTCCGGTATATTCGGTGGTATTTAGGGAAAACCAACCAGGCCAGATATTGAAAAAGAGGAGGAGGAGAAGAAGAAGAAGAACAACAACAACAAGAAAAAGAAGAATATAATGACTGCAAAGAAGATGAAGATTAATACCAAGACTGCGAAAAATACAGAAGAAGAGCAGGAGGAAAAGAAAAATAAGAAAAAGTAGAGGAGGGGGAGGAGGAGGAAAAGAAGGAGAAGATTAATACAATGACGGCGAGGAATACAGAATAAGGAAAAACAGATGGCTAGTATGAAGAGTCTGATATCACTTTTGATGATAGTGGATTGTCTTATGTTTTTATTAACATCGATATTAAAAAATTAAATGATATATGCATATCTCATTAATTTCAGCTAATTTTATAGTTGTTCTGGCGATATGGTTTCGTTGCTTTACTAAATTCATCGCATAATAATGCGTTGGATCTGCAAGAAAACACCAAATAGAACATATATAAAGATTAATTTTAAGCTCGTTAAGAAATATTTTATAATTTAGGCAAAATATTAATATAAATTTTTCTAGCATACGATTTAGTCGACACCGCAGATTTTAATAGATTAAATCTAGTATAAATTACTATAAGATCTAATAATCTAGAATTGGTTCTATAACTAAATGAGATACTATAAATGAATTTCGTTGCTACAACGCTAAGTGCGTTTTACTTGATGCACCTCAGCAATACAAATTAATTGCTTATAAAACATGCCGATAAAAAGATTAAAAATTACTTCATGAGACCATTTGAAAAGAAAAATATTCCGAATGAATAAAAAGAAATCCTGAAAACTTACATTTCGAAAGAGCAACATCAAAAAGTAAGGCAGAGAGCAGCGAAAGAAAATAAAGATGCTTCATTTTCTCTGTCCAACGGACGAAGACGGAATTATTTCACTGGAGAACAATAGTCATAGTAATAATATTTTATAAAAATGTATATCCTTTAGGTTCTGAAGTGTTAACTTCCTTAAATTGCTGGCTGTTACAAATGGTATAATTTGACTAAAATAAATCTTTAAATATATACGAATATGAAATAAAGATATATATTTTATATATCAAGGACAGTAATAAAGAAATTATATGACAAATTGGTAAAATTTTACTTGTGGAGAGTTTCGTACTTCAGAACGTCATCGGACTAAATTGTTTTCTACTTTTCTCACTTTGGCATACAATTTTCCCAATATATGAATATCTGACATATTTTACACTGCTACACGTTTATACGTGTAGAGATTAAAGATAAAATTCATTATGATATTGATCTAGCCACTAACAGCCACTATCCAACGATCTTCAGTCGACTAGCTAAAGTTTCTGCACCTTATAATAACGGTGATTTTTACATTATAATCTATTTCGACATCTCTTGTTCTACAATAAATTTATTTCTATCATTTTAATTTAAAAAAGAACTACGTAGCGAAGGACTAAAGCAAATAAAATCTGTAAGCCAATGAAAAGATAGACTTTGCGGGTTGCGTAGCGAACATGCATCATGTGTTGAACTCCATGGGGCTCAATATTTGGATTTTGTAACAAAGATTGTTCTGATATAAATCCACTAATATGAAATGAAGATTAAACACAATGGGACTCTAGCTTGTTAACTCTTGCTACCTGATGACACACATTTTCGAGAGTAGTTAGGTTAGTCACTTCTTTACGAAAAGGCCTCTGAAACAATATTAGATTTAACTCTGGAATCTTATAAACAGAACAGACTTCCGATGAGTAAATATGGCATGCTTTAATATATTGATTTTGGTCTCATAAAATATCAAAAACAAATCAACAATTGTTCAAAATACATCATATTAATGGCATATTAAGATTTTTTAATTATATTAAATCTATTACTTAGAAAATCAATCAGTGTATTACCCATTATTAATAGAAATATAGCGTGTAAACACCGGCATAATTGAAATAGCAAAAGATTCCTTCCAAAAGCTAGACAAAGTATAAAGAAACAGGAAATTTTCATTAGAAACATAAAAAGGAAGAAAACATATAGATATTGACATAAAAAAGAATGAACTGCCAATGCATCATAGCTTTGTCAACATTCGTTCTTAACCAACTAAAGTATGCAAATATAAAAAGAAATAATACTATGAATAATGTACAGATGTGTTTAGCAATGCTAAAGGGCCTCTGAAAATAAAAAGCAAATGAAATGATCACGTCATTTTCTTTTAACGAATCGAAATATTTTCGTTTGAAACAGAATTTTATCGACTCGGAAATTTTATCTACTCTGAAATTACTCTGACAGGTTGGAATAGAGACTTTGCTTCTTTAAAAATGTTATTACGCCGAATTCAAATCATTGAAATACGGAATACCTTGACGAGGTATGTTATTGCATTTTTTATATACGGATATATGAGTGTTCTAAAGTGTATATATTTCTCTGTGGGCATGTTTACATGCGTATGTGTGTACTGAGATGGTTGATATCTGTCATCGTTTGAAGATATTTTTCGTCTTATCTAAGTTTTAGTTACTAACACGATGTGCTAGTAGCGTTACGGTTATAGGTGCATAGAATGTGAACCAGATTCAGTTCCTAGTGGAAGCTGTTGAGCGCAATTAGCACTAATACCCTTGGAAAGGGCAGGAATTCATTTTTTTCTCTTCTCAGCCATGTAAACTGGGTCGAACCCAATCTCGGAAAAACACTACTAGGTTTAAAAACAAATCATTGCACTTCATTGATAATAAATAAAAGGAATGTGTGGAGGGACATGATCACCTATAATCTGAAGGGTCATTACAAAAAATGATAAATGATTGACAACTTCACCAAAGTTTGGGTCTATTTTATATATGAGCAATTTTTCCTGAAATGACTTCATGGAGTCAATTCGAGGTGTGCCCATGAATTGCACATAACCCCGTCGTTGGTATTGGACATAATCTCTAAATTAGACTCACATCAGCCATTGTTCTGAAGAAATGTGTTCCTGGACTGGCTTCTGCCCTCTCCAAATTATATAACTACTGCCTGAATAAATTGGAAGTCCTCATCTATGGTATCTGTCTTTAAGGAATCTGGAGACCCTTCTGACAAATCTAACAACCGCCCTATCAGTCTCTTACCACTCTTCGGCAAAATCTTTCAAGCCTTAATCAAAGCTGATGCACCGTATATCCCATGATCTGCTCTCTGACAAGCAATATGGTTTCCGTTTTGTCCGTTCTACAACTGATGTTCTCATGGTCATAACAAAAATTGTTTACCAAGCAGATCGTGCCGTGGCTCTAGATATCTCTAAAGTGTTTGGTAGGGTTTGGCATGCCGGCCTCCTTCGTAACCTTCAGGGATACGGAATTTCAGCTCGATTATTTGACTTAATACGATAATTCCAGTCAAACCGTGTAATGAAGATTGTCCTTAATGGATTCTTCTCCAGTTCCTTTCCTACGAACGCAGCTGTTCCCCAACTTTCTATCCTGGGCCCTACTCTGTTCCTTATCTTCATTAACAATCTTCCCGATGTCATCAGTTCCCAAGTAGGCATCTATGCAGACGACACTACTATTTACTCCTGCCACGAAAGCAAGTCTGGTATCGCTGACAAAACTAACCTGGCCGTTAGTCTCGAAAAGGACTTTGGAAAAAATAAAACACGCACTGGATCTCTATCAGGTGGCAATAAACAGCAAGTGAATACAAGGCGAAAGACATAAGGATTGAGCAAAAAATAGAAAACCTGGAAGCAATCTTTCTCACAATTATTTGCTAGAAAATAAGCTATGTCATGAAATTAAAGGATGTGAACATCCTTGGTTCCACGAAACTTCTTGAGTCTATGAAAACATATCACCAGGAAGCAAGAAAAAAAATTAGAGAATATAAATTCAAAGCCAGGAGAATATGACCAGTTTACAGTGATGGGAAAAATGGGAACGAAAAGGAAGTGCTCGTCTTAATAGATATGATGGATGAGTAGAAAAGATACTTCACAGCAAAACCGAAAAGTTCAAGATGAAAACCTCCCTCCCTATTCTGGACACTCTAATCTTTGAATTGATAAATCTTGCAGAGATTTATTCCCAGATTGGAAAACTGTTTTCTTTCTTCAATGAATCGGAAACAATTGCTTCTGATGCGCTAAAGAAAAAGTGTGAACAACTGGCTAATATGTACCACAAAGGTCTGAATTAGGATGACCTTTTAAATTAATGTGCGCATCCTAAGGGCTACAGGACACATGATAAAAATTTCGAGACACTGCACTGTAGAGAAAATTACTTTCAGACAATTTGAAATTTACATTCCCGAATGTTAAAATTACACTCAGAGTGTTCATATGCATGATGATGACCAACTGTACAGGAGAACTGAAAATTATAAAGGATCTGCATGTAGCACAATAAAGCAGAATCACTTGAACTGGCTTACACCATGGAAAGTGACCTTTTATTCTTGAAGACCACTGACTTCAAGCCAATAATAAAGCAATTCTCTGAAGAGAAATGACGCACATGCACAATGCGCAATTACTACCAACTTCTTAGTTCGTAGTAAATTCGTATGTGCCATTTAATCTGTGTGGCTTACTAAATATTATTGTGTTTTTCAAAACTTGTGTATTGTTCCAATGTTTATCAGGTTGATTAGTTGCTGCTGTACAGCATGTTTTTAATGTTTTAACACCAGTTTTGCTGAAGTGCCACTAAAATAAATATATGCTTAATATTGTCGACTATTTACGTTTAATTCATGTGAGTGGTTGTCATCGGGGTCCCAGCACACAGGCTTGCCCATAATGCTGTTAAGACGGCTCTGGTCGGAATAACATCATACGGTGCTACTATCTCGGTCAGGTCCTCTGCTTATCCCAACAACATTTCCCCGATTGTAACGAGGAATGCCGAGATTGAAGAGATTGGCAAATAAATCCGGGTATGTGAGACAGAATGAGGAGGTACAGTTAATCGCAAAACACTTGTTTGCTGTCGGGATTGAGGATATTGTGCCCTCTCCTCAGTCTCTTCAGTTGTACGGACGGACAGTGCAAAATAATCGGTTTGGTTCGGTCGTGACCACCAGTTCAGGAAGAATTGGTAGAAAGAATTAGAGAATGTTGTGTTTGCAGAAAATCTTTTGTCTAAAAGCAATCTTTCATTAAAGGAATGGGTATTTAGGATATATGAACTACAATTCTTTAGCAAATCTCAGTATTTCCACTCACATACAAAAATGCCTTAGATAGAAAGAGAATTGTTTCCAGACTTCTGGTGTCACATGTTTCCTACGGTGCGTTGCGAAATCTATTATCTTCATCCTTCCGACAATAGCCAGGGAAGGCCGAATATCATGATTTATCGGCATACCTGAGTATTAAATTTCCGGACGTTTGAATAAAATGGCAATAACAGCAAATTTTGGAAGATATCAAGATGGATGACACTGAAGTCCACTGTTTGCCATTTTTACTGTGAATGCCTATGTGGTTTGAGATTAAAGACTGACATCTATGAATCCCTTCTGGTTGTCGATTTTTAGAGGTTGCCGTGCAAGACGATTTAATCGAGTTGCTCGATCTGACAATGGAGAAGTATCTTTCATTGTGGCGCATTGGATGACCGGATAGAAGTTTTTCAATAATATAGGCATCCCTCCTCAGGATGACGCTTTCTTGAACGACGAAGTGACTTTTATAGCAAGATCTATAGTTAAGCCGGTGTGTCCGTTGCGGTGATATGGAGGAGATTATCGAGCACGCCTCCTTACACTATACGGGCATTGTGCTGGTATGTTGAAGGCTATATAGATTGCTTCACGGAGAGGTCTGCATTGGGTGAAATTTATGTTTGTAGCAATGTGGGCCAGTCACTTGACA